TATCACTCCGTCTCCTGGAGCATTGCCCCCACGCTTGCTGAGCCCCTCCTTCACCGACATGCTGTCCTTTTCTATTGTCCCTTCCTGATGAGGGGTCCAAAGTGAACGAAACAAAGCCTTATCATGTTCACTTTTAGGAGCATTCTGGCTGTACTTCCTCTAAGACTGATAATAAATCGAGAGTATCCAAACTGTTCTGCCACCTCGGAATTCTGTTGAGGAACCTAGCCTCTCTGTAATGATTTACCAAGTGAAAAGAATGAAAATTTCAACAACACACCAACCCAACTCTATTCTTCATTCAAGTCCCCAGATCATGTGGCACTTGATTTGGAAGGGTTGTGGTGGATGCTGTAATGTACCACCTGGTCCCCCCCTTGGAGATGCAGGCATGCTTTTGCCTAGCTACATTCACTGGCACCGGCTGATGGCTCACAGCCAGAGAGCACTCTCTCAAGGGATCTGCCTGGAACAAGGTTGCTGCCTCTAGCCAGGTGTGGCCCACTCCAATGACTGGTGATGTGGGGGCACAAAGAAAGGCCCCCTTGACTTCATGAAGAACAACGCTAAGGGTCCCCCTATGATCAGACCTTCCGTGTATTGGCTGACACCTCTGTCCAATGCAGCACAATGCAAGCTCCCTGACCCTCGAACAGGTGAGGTCCTGACAGCACCTCTAACTAAACCTCCACATGCAGATCTCCACCCCAGAGCTGCTCCCCAGAAACCACCACTCCCTAGGAATGACTGAAAGCTCAGGGACACAGGACAAAATGTGCAGATTGTCTTAGCAAAGCAAAATAAAGACGCAACAGCTGCTTATCCACCCTGAAATGCAAACGACACAGAAACTGGCTATTTAACTACTAGATACATGTGGAACTAGACTAGAGAAAGTGTTTTCCCTAGCAGCTCATCTGACAGAGACAAAAAGCAACACTGGGCAGTTTTCAGGAATCTAGACATGGGAAGGGCTAAGTTATACTGAACCACTCTTCCCAAGTCCATCCTGGGCATTAGAACCTTTCCCGTCTCATCTTCTCGTGCCTTTATTATATGGACTTTATTTTTCATATGAGAGCATCAGCAAGGCAAGAAGGAACCACTTGATATTAGGGGAGAAGATGTGGTCACAAAAGACTTCGCTATAGAAGCAGCAACTGAAGGTTGGAAAGTCTATCACTGTGATCCATATTGCAAAGATTTCAGCTTTTAGCATGCAACTTACAACAGGGTTCCCTTCTGATGACTCCCTTGTGAAGCGAGCTCTGAAGTAAGTCAAATACCTCTTTTGTTGTTTTCTTTATTACTGCCTTTTATTATTGGTATCTTTATAAATCTGATCTCTAATGTCTTTGGGGTATGGCATGCGCATGTTAACATCAGTAAATTATCTACTACAACATTGTATGCACATAATCCCCCCCAAAAAAAAAAACCACAAACCCACTGCCATCCAGTAAACTCTGACTCATAGACACCCTTTAGAACAGAGTAGAACTGCCCTATAAGGTTTCCAAGGTTGTCAATCTTTACAGAAGCAGACTGCCTCACGTTTCTCCCGCAGAGTGGCTGGCGGGTGCGTTCAAGCTGCTGACTTTGTCTGGTTAGCAGTCAAGTGCTTTACCAACTACACCACCAGAGCTCCTTACCAAAAAAGAAAGGTCATAAGTGTGCTTCATGTTGACTTGAATACATCACAAGGCAGAAATGAGAAGCCACAGAAACCATGTCCCCGCAGGTGTAAAAGCCATCACACCAGCAGCCTTCAACATCTGAGAAGGTGAGCAGCGCAAGGGGAGAGGACCCACAGGGGTACCTGGTTCTCTATGGCTCTCCGGTTCCTCGGGTCGCTCACCACCGACAGCTGCAGCCCAGCCATCCTCTTCATCTTGCTGTCCGTAGCGATCTTCTGAAGCAGGCTTTTCGTCTGGTTCTTCAGGAGCCGGACTGTGTCCTCTTTCCCGTGCTTCTTGGCAAAAAGGGACGCGCAAGCTGAGTGTACGGCAGTGACCCAGTTCTCCAGATCCGTCTGGCTAGTGGCCTACACACAGGGAAGGAAACACAAAACAAACCCGTCTGCAGCTGTTGGAAACTGCCTCCACCGTGGCAGGCTGGCTCTGATATGCACAGCCCGCAAGCACCTGCACTACAAATGGGCACCGGCGGCTGTGGGGTTGATTCCGACTCATGGCAACCCCGTGTGTCAGAGCAGAACTGGGCCCCACTGGGCATTCAGTGGCTGATTTTCAGAAGCAGACTGCCAGGCCTTTCTTCCAAGGTGCCACTGGGTGGACGCAAACCTTTCTGTTAGCAGCTGAGTGTGTTACTGTGTGTGCTCTCCAGGAACTCCTCACTTCATAAAAATCGTGTTTAATTTCAAAAACACACACAACCACTCAACTCAGGCTCTCAGGCTTCCTTCACTCCAGGGGATCCAAGACGGGAACAGCACCCTCCTGCAGCCCCAAGTAAAATGGACAGAAAAACTGGAAACAACCTACGAGCCCAAGAGGAGGGGGTGATAGGGAAACAAGGCAGAGCCACTTAGAGCTACAGCGCTCTGCTCTCTAAAAGGCACGTGTCGTCGCTTTAATAGAGTGACAAAATTTTAGGACTGAGATATTCAAGTTTGAAACTCAGACAAAAAATTCCAACCACAACTGGACTCAGTTTTGAAAAAAAATCAGTAGAAAAATATACTGAGGGGCATGGACAACAACGTTAAAATTGTCATGACTGAATATTGAAATTATGGGTATTGGTTTTTCTTTTTCTTCAGTACCTGATATATTTGACACATGGGTCATACATCATTTTCATATAAAGAAAATATTTTACTTCTAAAACAATATAAAGGTTTGAATAAAGAAGGATGGGCAAAGATGTTTGATGCTAGGCAGGCTAAAAAGCAGCTTAAATATTCTCGTCCAGAAATAACCGCACACATTCAAGCCACGGGACGAATCAGTCAACTGGCCTCTGGGATCATCAATAGCACTTACAGGGGAATGTTCTTAGTAATAAGGTATTCACATCACACCCCTAGAAGCCTTTGTACATTCTAATCTAATGTATTTACCCTTCCCACAATTCAGGTTAGCATCCATTCATTACTTTGCTTAAAGGCATGATAGAAAGTTTTAAGTAACCTTTCTGTTAAGAGATTTTCAAGAAGGAAAATAAAACCCCAGTCCCTGACTCATTCCAAGTCAAGAGTTTACCTTCTACTCATCCCGGGAAACCCTGTTACAGTTTGGACAAATTAGAATCTCAAAGTCCACCTTGAGAACACTATGTTGTTCTGAAGGGCTCCAGAGGGCATCAAGGACCCAACTTTGTTAACAGAGCCCTGGACCTCGGACCTAGGAGGTTTTCCACAAACTCTCCATCATACGCCGTCTACACACAGTGCTAAGTTTGAAATGGGAGGCACTAAGAAGCTTCACCTCCTAGCTATCACTCCCACTTTCCTTGAGTTAACAATTAATAATAACAATAGCCAGAATTTCGTTAGCCCTTAACACATGCACATTATAGTATTTACCCTTAAAGCAATTCTCTAAGCTACTACTGTCCCACTAGTTGAAGGGTCTAAAGCTCAGAGAAGTTTAGTGTGTACTCCAAGATGACATTATTTAGTCAATGGCAGAGCCAGGACTCAAGCCTTAGCCTGACTCTAATACTGATAGCTTGGGGCCACCACAGTGTACAACTTCCTATTTGCTCAAATCAAACTCACTGTCATTGAGTTGATTCAAACTCAGCAAACTCCTACTGAGTTTCCAAGGCTGTTAATCTTTGTGGAAGCAGACTGCCTCATCTTTCTTCCC